GCGGGGCTGTTTACTGGCGGGCGTAGGGGTAGCACTGCAGCTGCGGTACTCGGAAGGGGGTACGGGCACTTCTTCCAGCTGCTGGAGACACAGCCCCTTCGGCCCTGCTGGGGAAGCGTCGTTGTAACCTAGCTAAAAACGTCCCTGCCCCGCTGGTTCTGCGCTTTCGTTCCTGGCCGCTCCCCTACCCCCGCCAGGCCTGGACGACTATGAGTTTGATGCTGGAGATGTCAGCGCTGAGCGTTCTGGAGAGCTGCAAGTGGGCATACTGCCGCTCTGGAGCATGCAGTGGGAAGCGGCTGTGTTGGACAATCAGCCACCGAATAAGTAGAGGAGTACGTGGTGAGATACAAGATGCTCAGCAGTAAGCTAGCTTCAGATCACGAGCTACTAGTGACATGTTTTTAACCCCATCTGAATGTTCTTTCTATTAGGGATCCGATTTTATTATTTCAATACAGCCTCACGTTGGTGTGGTGAGGTTGATTCAGTGTCTTGCTCAATATCTATAGACTTACTGGTATTTAGTGGCTTCTATGCAACCGTTATGCGTTTTCCACCTATGTAAGTTGTCTCATTTTGTTGGATTTATGTTTTGCAAAGTTACATTAAAGTTCCATTCCCATTAGCTTTACTTCTCACCTGCGAGAAGGAATTTCTTTAAAGCCTGTGTTTATGCTCGTTGCAGTAATTATTCCAAATATTCCATTATTCTGCCAGAATAATTGTCTTCCATTAACTTGCTAAGAGCTCTGTAGTTGGCCTTTTACTTCATGAGTACTAGGTGTCTTTGAAATGTATAAAAAGCAGGGTTATTGTCATGGTGGCCTATGCACGTAGGCGTGAGAAGATAAGAAGAGGAATATCTTTTTTTTTTTTTTTTTTAACCCGTTTGTTAGTGTAAGGTGAGCTAAGTTTATAGATGTAAAGTACTTATATGCAAAAGTTATAGTGACCCGTAATAATGCTGATAAGCTCTGTGCTTATCAGCAACAGTGTCTGTGCATGGTCTGGTGGCTATGTGCAGTACTACTTTGTTACAATGCATTTCTTGGTATATCTGGAAGAAATTATCAAATGCTTTTCAGAAGAAAACCATCTTTCTGTGCAGATAATCACTGTTGTATGCTTTTGTGCAGCGTGTGGAAAATCTCTTTCACTTGCTGCATACAAGTGATATCCCTGCTAAGTGCAAACACGCATCCCTGGCAGTCTTGGTGCACATCGAGCTGCACGTGACAAGGAGGGTAGTCTAGACAATGTTTTCTGGTATGCAAAAGCTAGGCCACAGAGCAGCGCAGTGTGGACACTGTTATGTAATAGAAAAGCTTTGAATCACAACTGCAGCTAAGATTTTTGGTGTTCAGAAAGATGACTCTTGGCAGTTCAAGATTAGATATTGACTCTTGTGCCAGATTGTATGTGAAGGTGTTGCTGTTCAAACCTATTGTGATCAGGAGGAGTGAGAGCAAACTCAGCAGATATTGTTAAAGCAGAATTCTTGTATGTGTAATTTAGCCTAGGTAAGTTTGCTTTCTCGACGTTGCCTGAAGAATCACGATGTTAGATTAAACAGGAGTAATTACAAAATATCATCTAGTATTTTGAGGGTACTTTATGCCTTTTTTTTTTTTTTTTTGTACCGGCCAAACAACAAAAAAAAAAACCTCTGGCCTGTCACCAGCTTTCTTGTCAACTGCTCTAAGCAGCTCAGAGCCCACTGGTGCAATTGCAAACACATGAGAAAGCTTGGGTGCTGAACTGGATTCTGCAAGAGCTTGACCTTAAGGATGAAGCATGGGCAATCCTACAGTTTGCGAATAGATGACAAACGGACCTGTCTGAATGGAGTTCCTATGGCTGGCAAGTGCTGTTCTCTAACTGTTGTCGTGTAACTTCAATAGATCCCTAGAGGAGGGCTGTGTGCGAGCCAGCTTAGGGTAACTTGCTAATGGTGCTCTATGGAAATGTTGGAAACATATCTGGGCACCTGTTGGCTTCAGCAAAACTGCTGCTCAGTTTGGCAGTTGACCAGCAGTTAGCAGCTTGCAAACGGATGATCAGTAGTTAGCTCAGAGTGACTGTGGCACACTACTGGTGCTAAAGAACAGTAGTGGCATTGAAGAGATCGTAAATACTAACTCTGAATTGCACATTCATCTTACCACTGGAAACAGCTGGTGTGCTGGCTCTGCAGGCAGCAGTTGGTCAACTGCTTCAGTCCTTTAGAGGCTTAATTTGTAAAAGACTTTTCATTATGTTCACATCTTAAAACAAGGAAAAAAAATTGTGTGTTATATCACAGAAACAACATCAGTTATGCGTTGGGTTTGCTGCACTGGTTTGAAAATCCACATTTGTTCTTTGCATCGTATGTATACAGCTTACCAGTATGATAGAGCACTTGTTTTGTCGATCTGTACTTGTGGTATGTCACAAATACATACGTCCTTTAGGCAGATACCTGTAGTGCACTTTTTGCCCCCACAAAAAGCAGTGGTATGCTAGACCTTAATAGTAGTTAATTGCGATGTGTAAATGGAACAGTACTTCTATTTACCCCGTGGACATTTTATGTGATGTAATATGGTGATGGATGTTGGCAGGGAGTATGCGGTACTTGGTTCTGTGATGCTTGTCGGTGAAAACTTATCCTGATAACAAGTACAGGCTGCATCAGGATCAGCTTTAAGCTTGGCCAAACTAGGCAGATACGTATGGGAGCAAACTGCTGAGCTTGACAAAAATCACGGCCATAAAGCCCTTTAAGAGACCCTCTGGCCGTGGCTCTGTGCTGCCCTATGCGGAGCAGCTCTCTAGTTATTGTTCTGCTTCCTACATACTCAGCCTGCTACATGACCGCCACCTCTCTTCTTACTGCTGCTGAGAAGACAAGCACTGCCACAAAAGTGTGGTGCTTTTCCGTGCCAATAATGAGGACAAAGTAAGGTTTATATCCTCTTTTTTTTGAGTGACAAATTATAATTCTCCATATGCTTCTGAGACTGTGTCAGCTCTGACTGTTTATTGCAACCCTGCCAAACCTTATGTGTTTTTCATAAATTTGGTGAATGGATAGACAGCTTATGCAACTGAAGGCATTTTTTCTTAATAAATTTGTGCAGTATGGAAAAAGCCTTAATGCAGGTAACATACTGTGCTTCTGAGCTGGAGGTGTACACTCCCTCCTGGAAGTAGATTTTCATCAATATCCAGTGTTTTGTGTGCATACAAACATTTGAAAAACAAAGTTTGAGGAGCTAGGAAACTTTAAAGTTGTAAACTTTCCAGATTTAATACCTTTATGTAAGTAATAGTAAAATAAAAGACTTTCTAAACCAAAATTCTATGCATTTGATTTTGAAAAGCTTTATATTAGTTTACTTTCATGATTATCAGATTAAATGCAAATAACTAGTGAGTGGCTTTTTTTCCTAACCTTAAATCCACAGCTTTGAAAATAAAAGGCAGTTAGTGGCTTGTGAGCTTTACTTAACTCATTTCAGTGCATGCTTGAAAAATTTTACTTGTCTCCTAATTCCATGCATTACTGTACAGACAGGCCTAACATCTGGTCTTAGAGAACCTCAAAAGGGTTTTTTTGTAGCCTTACAAGTTGTCCCACATGTGAAAAATTGAACATGATCTCATTTATAACTTGAAACTTGTTTTTTTCCAGTAGAATTTCCCTGCAGCCACTGACTGTTTTTGCAGATGCAGGGGCTTGCTTTCATGCAGCTCAGGCTGCTCTAAGCCCTCTGTTTATGGAAGGTAGTTTTCTAGGCAGCAAACACTAACTTCATCTCAAATTGTTCTCCCTGTAGGAAGCTGCACAAGCCTTGATTTATGCTGGGATGGCAGGGTCCAACTTGGAAAATATTCAAGAAAAAATAAATGAGTACTTGGAGAGAGTTCAAGCTCTCCATTCAGCAGGTGGGTAAGGAGATTTCTAATTAAACTGCTGCTTAAATTAATTGAGTGGAAAGCCTTTTGGTGCTGTGAAATATGTATCAAAGATGTTTGCTGTGTTTTTTATTATTCTAATTTTCTTGTCCTTTGTGAAGGACCACAAATACAATGCGCACATCAGTGCTTTGAATTCTGATACATCAGAAATGAAGCAGGGGCTTACTTCGTAAGGACTTGGGTGTGGGTATTCTTCCCTTTTAAATATTCTTAGGAACCTCATCTGCAGAGCAAACCTGAGAAAGTAGTTAAATAGAACGACAAACATTGATCAGGAACAAATCAAAACTTGGATCTAAGCCTCAGCTGCATGATGGATTTAGGGCAAGTGGGTTCTGGTATTTATGCAGAATTACTAGTTTTGAGAGGGCAGAAGAGCTCTTTGCTCTCATAAGGGTGTCCTTCTTTGATCCAGTTTCAGTGTTTGTGCTTAGACCAAAATGTCAAGTTTTAGCAGACTTGCAGTTCTCAGTTAGAATCAGAGAATCACTTGGACAAAAAGGGACCTTGGGAGGTCTACAGACCAATCTCCTGCTCAAAGCAGGGTAGACAGTGATGTTGGAACCAAGTTGCTCAGATCCAGTCAGGTCTTGAAAACGCCTAAGGACAGAAGCTCCCTGGTGCCTCTGGGCCCCTATTCCAGGGAGCAATTGTCTTTTTAGTGATTTATTTTTTTATATATAGTTGGATATCTAGCTGGATTCTCCCATTTCAATTCACAGCCACTGCTCTCATTCCCTGTCTTTGCACCGCAGTGACGAGCCTGAATGTACTTTTCTTGATAACCTCGCAGTTACTGGCAGGTTGCTTTTAGGTTCCCCCAAAGTCCTCTCTCCTCCTGCCTGGACAAGCCATGCCCCCTCAGCTTCTTCTCAAAAGGTGACGTCCTCCAGCCCCAGCCATCATTAGGGACCTGAGATTGGATGCAGTATTCCAGATAACAGTCTGCAGAGTGCCGAGTAGAGGGTGGTAATTGCTTCCTCCCATCTCGTGGCTGTGCTCCTGCTGACACAGCCCAGGCTGCCGTTAGCCTTCATCGCTGCCGGGGGCCTGCTGGCTCGGGCTCCCCCAGCTGTGTCCCAGGATCCCAGGCCCTTCTCCACAGAGCTGTACCCTGCAGGGTGTTAGTCTGTCCTGAACATGGGGCATAGCACTTGTCCTGGTTAATTCCCTGAGGTTCCTGTCAACCTGTTACTTTAGCTTGCCTGTGTCCCTTTGAATAGCAGCTGTGTCCTTGAGTGAATCTGTTTGGTGGGGTCTGCAGCCTTGATGAAGGTGCACTCCATCTTCTCCTTTAGGTCATTAGTAAAGGTGTTAGATGAGATAGACACCTGAGTAACTTGTATATTACCATAGGTGATGTGTTTTCACAAATGATGCAATATTTTGCATAATTAAACATCCTTATCCTTAGTGTAGTATGAAAGAGATTAGTTGACATGGGAAATATCCTGACAGTGTGTCTCTGCTTCAGGAGGTGGTTTTTTGTCCTTGCAAAGGTGTTTTTAGTGAAGTTTAGAAAGATTTGGTTTCCAGCCAAGAAATAGATATTGCCCATCTGATTAGAACTGCTAGTTTCTTAGTACCATGTTAAGGATGTTTTTATGTGTCTGCTGCTGCAGAAAGCTAAATACTTTCTTTTTCATTTAGTTCAGTCACAGAACACAGACCCTTTGAAGTCAAAACAACAGTTGGACTTGGAGCGTGCTCACTTCCTAGTTACACAGGCTTTTGATGAAGATGATAAAGGCAATGCAGAAGAAGCTATAGAGTTGTACACAGAAGCGGTGGAACTCTGTTTGAAAACAGTATGTTAAGCTACAGGTTAACTTGGTGGAATTATGTGATGGTAAGAAATTCTTCCACTTACACAAGTGACTGACCCTTAAAGGCTGGCTTAAAAATGGAGTACCTGTATTTATAAAAACTATTTTTTTAATCTTTTTGCCCCCTGTTTTGTTTTTTTTTTTAGTGTTTCTTCCAGTCTTTATGTTATGTTGGTAAATTTGTAAATTTATGGGGACTTGTGATCTACGTGTTTTTTCTGAACTGCATTATACTAAAAACTAGATATATTCTGGAACCTTTTTAATGTTAATTTTTGCCCTGGAGTGAATGCAACACTAAGACAGAAATTAAAAACGGTTAAAACTGAAGATGACTTGCTAACGTGTGAGCTATATTACTTTCTGACTACATGAAAGGAAGTAATTTAAGGGAAATTTTTGTGTGTAACACTTCCTGAAAATGTAGTGATCTACTGATCCCCAAACTAGTAAAAATACTACTTGATTAGTCAGTGCTCAACATTAAAGCTGGTAGAAGTGAATTAAATTCACACTGAAATTTATGGTAAGGATGAATTGGCCGTTATGTAAAAGATGGAGAATATAATTACAGGTGCTGCTTTTTTTCCCTTTTATGTCCAGTTGCCTTAACTAACTCATTACAGGAAGAGTTCACCATCATAATGTAACTCCACCAAGTCTGTTTTTCTTTTTTCCTTATTTTCCCTGTTTGTAATGTAAATATATGTGGGTTGTTGTGAGGGGAATGTTACTTTTGCTACATGCTAGAGTAAAATCTTTCCTCTGAATTCTGCAAACTGGTTTTATGCGGGCTAAAAAACCCTGGTGATACAGTGTAACCAGATCAAGAGCCGCTAGAACTGCTCTAGTTTTTCCACTTGAGCTGTTGTAGCGGAACATTTTTGGTCTATTACATAAAATTTCCTGCGGCAGCATACTGTTTTTCCTCTGCTGTGTTACTCCTTCTGTTGTGTCAGTGCATGCAAATATTACTTCCATATATTGAAGTTAGTCTGAAATTATCTCATATTAACAACTGCTTCTATTGGGTATTTCATTAGATACAGATACTGCTGAAGTTTCTTTTAATCTTGACTAGCATATTATTTTGTTGAGATGACTGTAGTCATTGTCCCTCGGGGCGATCAAAAAGGTCCTCCTTCTTCCCAGGATGAAAGAAGGTTGAAAGAACTCTGCTATCTTGAAGCTTTACTTCTGTCTTTCTCCTCAGTATATTCAGGTGGAGAGATTTGTTTCTTCTTTACCGTTGAAGTACTCTGAGAGCAGCCATTCCTCCTCTTCCATGGCTGAGCCCTAGATGAGTGTGCTGGTGTTCCATCTCCACTGCTTACCTTCATATACCTTTCAAAGTCTTTTCCAACCAGGAGCTCTAAGGTGTAGCTTGTTTGCAAATGAAAATAGTTGCTTATAGAGGGTATTTCTGGTTTTGTTTCTTGGGGTGAAAGTAGCTTGCTTTTTGTTTTTTCAGTTGACCTAGCTGACCTGGGAGAAGTGGTCAAGGCACAAAACCTTCTTGTGGGTATCACAGGGGAAGGCAAACCTTATGTTGCACCTCTTGCAGGTTGTTTAGCTGCAGTAGTCATGCTTCATCTGTAAGGGAAACAAGCATCAACTGTCATAGCTGACCTCCCAACTGGGAGCAGAAGTCAGCACTCTTGATATCTGTTTTGGTACCATCTCATGGATTATTTTATGCCTTAGATGTGCAAGAACAAGATTTTTAACTTGCAAGCAATCTTGTTTGTTTGTATTTTATGAAAGTAAATACTCAAAAAAATTTTTTTTTTCTAAGCTACCATGATCATTTTGGACTCATTTGGGGAAAGGAGTTGGAACACATCTAAGCTCAGCAGTATACGTAACATTTGTTTTTGTCTTCTTTCTGCCCATGGTGTTTTAATGTGGTTAATTCTTCTCGCAGTATACAGTGTTTCCTGTGCTGAAGAATTTTAAATATCACTTCTGTTCTATGAACATTCACTAGAACAGCAAAATGATATTCACTTACTTAGTATGCTTTTTATGCCAAGATTTTAAAAAAAAAAAAAAAAAAGAAAACCAAACCATTTGCTCATTTCAAAGGGGAATTAGAAAAAATAGCTACTTACTGTTTGCTATAACCTGTAAGTGTGGAATTTGACAAACTGAGCTTATAAAACCTGTGGTTTTTTTGGATGTGTAGCTTTGTCTTTTATTTTGCACTTAAGGCTACTGAAAATTCAGAAGCAGGCCTCCAGTCAAAACTGAAACAGCTGGCTCGACAGGCACTGGATAGGTGAGTGTTGCCAATGTTAGTAAACATACTTGCTCTCAAATCTGAGTGCACGCTTTGAGTTGGATTCTCAACGTAGCGTGTCTGTTCTGTACTGCAAACAGTAGATTTGGGGTGGACCTAGCTCCTGTAGAGTTCTCCTTGGAGACAGCCGCCAGCTGGTATACCACTAATATAGCAGCTGTTGTGCCAAACCTCTGGGATCTTGAGAAATGCAGAATTAGGGAAGGACTGTGTCTTTGTTAGTACCAATGCACTAATTTAGTCTTCAGAGATACAAATCGGAGCACAATTTTTGGCTTACATAAAAATGCTGAGATCAGGCCAGCACGAAGTCAGGTTGTCAGCATCCCTTCATAAGGAAGACAGCTTGGAAACTGGGAAATACTTACCTTGATGTCAGCAATCTAGTTGTATGGGTAGATCTATTGGAGTGGAGTCTGTATCTGAAACAAGTTACATGAGTGTAAGTTCAATGTAATTCTTTTTAAATCAGCTATATTATGGGAATAACGTGCTGTGTTGGGCTAAGTTTCAGTGTAAGCTGGTTTTCAGCACTTCTCAGTCTGTGTTTAAAAAAAAAAACCAAACAAATGTATTTTGCATATGTGTGACTGTCCAGCAGCTTAATGAAACAACAACAAAATATAGCTCCTGGATACACGATCTTTAAGCAGTTGAGAAAGCTAGTGGGCTTTTACTGCTATAGTAGCCGCTAGATAAATTAAGTCCTGAAGGTATGAGAGGATGCGAATGGGTCTTCTCTCTGTGTTTCAGTAGTCTTGTTCTGAGGTTCCAGATAATGAACACTTACACAAATTCTTCTATTAGCATAATTTAAAGGGAACAAAAATCTTAACAAGTTCTGCCAAAAGTAGCTTATATATGAATTGAAAATGCTGTATTTTAATTGATTCTTGAACAAGAAAGTAAAGAAGTACTGGCATCAGAGATTTATTTTTCTTAGAAAAAGTGGTATTGGTCAACTTGGGCATTTGTTCATTCCATTTAACATACGTGGGAATGTGAACCAAGCAAATAAATAGTTGAACCCTAACTACATTTTTATCGTTGTTGCAAACAAAGTGCATTTTTATTTGCTTTAGAGCAGAGGCACTGAAGGAATCGGTGTCAAAATCATCTCAGAAGGAGAAGTCAACTGCAGCTAAACCAAATCAGCCAGTCAGAACATTCTTTCCGTTGGGACCTGATTTTTCTTTAAACGATAAACCACAGACAATCAGAGCGGTACAAGCTAGTGAATCTCAAGGTCAGAAATACACTGCAGAGGAGATTGAAGTACTCAGGTAAGGTGAAGACAAGTTTTTCCAAAATTTTATCATTTGTGGTCACATCCTTTGTGTGTGTAACACAGTAGACTGACACTGCTGAAGCATGAGGTGTATAAACAGAGATTGGAAAACCAGCTCTTACAAACCCCATTGCTGGTATTACCTACACCCTAATACATTCTTGTATTCTCTACGGTGATGTAATCAGTGGCTTTTATTCACAGCCCGTATTTCTAGAGTGTATTCAGAAGACAATTTCTTGTAACTGACTACCAGGATTATTTTTCGTAGCCTTGTTTTTGTATGTTGCACATAACCTACCTGACGAAGTTCGCGGGAGTTCTGTCTCTGAGATGCCAAGGTAGAAAGATGTTTTTATAGATCATACAACTACTACTTCACTGAAAATTCAGGAAGCGTAATATTTTGTAGAACTGTGACTTCTATTACATCTGGTTCTTTTGGCTTTGATTTTTTTTTTTTTTATTACAGGTGGAATAAGCTACAAATAATCCATAAAACCTTTAGCCTAAATAATTAATTTTGAAAACTATCAATTGTATCTTTAAAATACATAAAATAGATGTCTAAAGATGTTTCAACCTTCCTCTTCCTCTCCATACAATAAAAAAAGATTGTGGCAGAGGTGATGCTCAACACTGTCCAGAATTTGGTCATAAACCATTTAGTCTGCTTGTTGACTTTAAGGGACTTAAATAGACTGAGGATACGGTTATGAAGATAGAAACGTACCTGTGTTTGAAAAGTTGCAGAGCATTAAGAGTTATCTTATTAAAATTTCCCTTTTTTTCCCTCTTGTAGTGCCTATATATTGAATATTTCTGGTTTTGCAGATGGTCTGGGTGTGTTTCGGTTGGGGGTTTTATGGGGTTGGGTTTTTTGGTTTAGTTTGGTTTGGGATTTTTTTGTTTAAGTCTTGCAAGAGAATTTCAAGTTGTTTGACATCTTTAATCATCATCTGATTTAAAAATATTTCACATACCTTTTTCAGGTAGCTCCTTGTTTGAAGCTTAAATTACATTCACATTTAAATATGATTCTTACTTTTTAGAAAGTATCCTGTGTGCTTTAGTCTAAAATGTACTAATAAATGTGCAGTATTTTTGTTGTTTGACAAAATGTTCCAAAATACTGCCCCAATTAGATGAAATCTAAGTTTTGCTAATTGTTAATTGCCGTCAGCTTATCCTAAGACTCTTTGAGAGGCTTAAGGGACCTGAGAAATTTTGTTTAAACAGATGTAGTTTTAAATGTGACTTCTAGAACTATAAAGGTTTGTGGCTGATAATAATTTCTGTCCTGGCATGGTGAATTGTCCACAGGTGTGTACTTGCAGGATTAGTGACTGAGCCATCAAGTACTGCACTTTCAAACTCAAATAAATACAGTGGTCTCTTAATTTTCAAGAGGTAGCTGTCTGGTTTTCGGCAGCACTGTGTCTTGTTAGTTTTTAAAAACTGATTTTGTTATCATCTGGAACTTAATCTTTGCAAGATGATAGTTAAGTTTGTAACTATACTTTTTTTTTTTCTTATGACTTGCAGGAAGACTTCAAAAATTAATGGCATTGAATATGTGCCTTTTATGAGTGTTGATCTGAGGGAACGTTTTGCCTTCCCTATGCCATTTTCGTAAGTGTGATTCAATTACTGAACTTTACTTTTGTTTTTATTTCCAAAACTTTCCCTATTTGCTGTTTCTGTGTTTTCTTTTTCAGAGTTTAAGATTGTTTAAGTGGGCTTTTAAGCATAATTCAGGTAGAGATATTTAAGTACAACTGCTTCCTCCTTCTGGTCTGATCTTAAAACTGTGTAATGTACGCTGATCCTGCTCTGCAGTGCTTTTGTATTTCTGTCTTCAGGCCTGTAAGGACAAAGCTATATTTGGCTTTTTGAAGTATGGGGCTGGGCTGGCAACTTGGGTCTTTCCTGGTTCTGCTGCATGCTAATGAGTTGAGCTCCCTCTGCCTCAGTTACCTGTGAAATAAAGGTGATAGCCATTTCCTCTGTAAAGGACCATTGTGAGGAAGAGTGATCTGTAACTGCTAGACCTTCATTCGTGAGCATTAATAATATGTTAAGATTGTGTGGCCATAATAAACAAAGACACCTGGGGTTGGTTTGGGGTTGGTATTTTTTTCAATTTTCTGCTAAAAGCTGGTCAGTCAGACAAGCCTCAATATTTTCAGAACTAAAGAAACTTCTGATTATTAGTTCATTGTATCGAAATAAAGTGAAGAATTTGAGTTTCTGCTGGCTTTTTGGAATTTCTTTCTCCTGCTCTGTCCTATATAAAGGAAGTTCTTGGGTTTCATTTCATGTTTTTAATATTTTTGCTTTTTTTTCCCCTAAAAATCACAAACTTGGAGGTAGTGGCCTTTGAAATTGTTTTACAGCTCTATATACCAAGCTGTGTAACTGTTCTGCACATATTTTGCACATCTATCAGACATATATAAGACTGGACATACCATGAAAAGCTTTTCTAAACTGCTATTGATTTATTTCTACCTTTTTCTCTCTTAAATCTAGTGATAAATGCGGGAAGTTACCATTATCTCCCAAACAGAAAGCGATGTTTGCCAAGTGGGTGAGACCAGATGACATCACAAATAACCCTACGATGATTTATACTGTATCAAGTTTCAGCATAAAGCAGGTAAATTGTTCCTAAAGAGAAATGTGTGCTGCAAGCAGTTTATTGCAGGGTATTTAAGACCACCTTGTTCAAAAAGGAATCTCCAAATGTGAGAGTGCTTTCCTTGGCTCTAACAAGAGTAAATAAATAAATACATACATAGTGCCACTTCCGGTTCCATACAGAATAAACATGTGTGTTTCCAGCTGAAAATCCTGTTTTCCAGAAATAGTGATAAGGTTAGTATGAAAAAAGGCAAGGTGTACCCTGCAGCAAATCGTTCACTCGATTTACTGCATGGGAAAAATAATGGGCAAGGCTTTTAAATTTTTATTTGACAGGAAACAGCGTGGCCCATTGAGAATAGTGGAAGCGTCTTGTTTAGTGCGAAGTTGCAGATGGCCTAAGGTATTTGGAAGTCAGCAATAGGTTATGCCGTTGGAGATGGCTTATATTACTCAGCATGTTTTGGGGAGGAGGAAGTAAGTGTGAGAGAATGCTGAGGTATCTGCGCTTCCCTGATTGTCATTATTTCTAACTCTGGTTTGCTCTGTAGGGGCCTCAAGCTGAGCAAGCATACGTTTCCTGCCTTCTTAGGAGTAGCTTTGCTTCTCGTGGTTCAAACCCTTTCCCTTTGGAAGGGAATTACTAACTGATGATTTTCCTTCCTTCCACATGCCCTGTTTGTCTTTCAGCATCTAAGTTATTAGTAACTATGTCCTCACTTTTTCTTTTCTTTATAGACAATAGTGTCAGATTGTTCTTTTGTGGCATCCCTGGCTATCAGTGCAGCATATGAAAGAAGATATAACAAAAAATTGATTACAAGGTATGTAGCTGTTGCTTTGTAAGATCTTTTCAGACTTAATACTGGCAAGCTTTTGCCACATGTTCTATGACAGCTGGACACTGTAAAAAGTAGCATTTGTTTCACCTTCATCTCCCTGGGACTCATGTGGCTCTAGTGCATCTGAGAGGGAAGCCAGCTTTATATAGATGCGTATATCGACACTGGAGTGTGACTTTAGGTGTGGGTTTAGTAGAAATTGAAAGGTTTGGGTTTGTAATAGAAATTTTACTTACAATGCTTTATAGGTTTATTTTCCTACTCTGCTATGCCAACTGCTGTGCAACAGGTGGTCCATCCTGCATCTCATTGTACAGTTAATGTTAACAACAGTATCTCAGTTCCACTCGACTGGGATCCTGTGGTAAACTTGGCACGGGTTTGGGAGACTCTTCCGGGAGACCGTTGCCAGACCAGTGTGTGTGAACATTGGTCCTGGATTTTTTTTGTTTTAACCTGGTCATTACAACTGAACTTGTATTCTTTTCAAGAGCAGTAAGTTCTGCACTGTCTTCTCCTTCTTCAAATGTTTGACTTGTCATTCAGGCAAATAATGTATTTATACTATGGATATGTAAATACCGTCTGTTTAATAGTAAGATAAATTTGTTTGCCTTGCTTCTGTTGAAGAAACAATTAGATTACTTATGTTCTTTTTGCTACTGTATTAACCAGAGAACTGCAGCAAGAGCAAGGCCTGAAAAATAAAACCTGTTTAAACATCACTGTCATATTTACTAAATTTGAGTTGCTCTTTCATTGAAAATTCTATCCTTCTGTTCAGTGTAAATTCCAGAAATGGACTATGTTAATCCCAATTTTATTGTTTCAGTGTATGTACATTTATATGACAATTTCCTTCTTTTTTTTTATTTTTTAACAGTATAATTTACCCTCAGAATAAGAAAGGAGAACCAGAATATAATCCATGTGGCAAATACATGGTGAAGCTTCATATCAATGGTGTACCTAGAAAGGTAAATTTTTTGGGGGAAACTTACTACTGTTACTGTTTTAAGTCGTATGTTTATAGACTTGGTCTGCTTCGCTGTGAAGCTGTGCTTGCATAGCAAAAACTTCAGATACGTTTTGTTGGAAAGTGTTTTTTTGATTGTTTAAGCCTTTTGAGATTCATTTTGGTTTGAAGTATGTAACAGAGCGTAGATACTTCTGCAAACATTCATGAAAATAGCCTTGCTCGCATTAAATTCTTGGAAAAAAAAAATCCTCATATTGCTTAAAAGAATTATGAAAACCACGTAGGAACAAAATTATGCATCCCATATTTCTCAGTAGGGTGTGCAAGTAATCCACTTTTCCAATCCATCTTAGAAAGGAAGTTACAGAACTAAAAAGTACAGAGAGGAATGTCCAGGAAGAGTTCAGACGTGGAACGACCCTAGAGGAATAGCACAACCAACCACATGTTTTTAGTAAGGAGAGGAGATGCCTGAAAATACATGATGGAACTCCATAAACTCACAAGCAACTTCATTTTCTTTTCAGTGCAATAAAAAAGGGCATAAAATAATGTATTTCTTCATATAAGACTTATGTATTATGGCACTGATTATTGCAGATCATAGTGACAGATGAAGGTTTATGGGAGTTCAGAAGTTGAGTGGTCACATGTGGTTTATGGGAGTAAGGGGATAGTCCTCACAGGCTGTTAATTGCTGAGGTTTAACCTCTGGGTCAGGAAGTCTTTGAGTTGCAAAATTCCAGAATCTGAATGTTTCAAGGAAATACCGTTTATGTGCTTGCCTTGCCCTTAATACTCTTTCCAAACTGTACTCTGATGGCTGCCTTTTGTTAGGGTGAATGGCCGTTTGCTCTTCTACAAAAAGGATTATTCGTTCCTGCACCGATAGGATTTGAGGAGAAATGTACTGTGTGGGTACCCTGTATTGGTAGCGGACTAATGCCAACATGAAACTGAAACATCTGTTCTGGGAGACTGTTTCAGACCACTACAAATACTGCAGTAACTATTGTAATAATGCTGAATATATTCTACCTAATTTAAAGAAGAAATGTTAATAATTCCACAACTGCTGCTTTGAGTTGTTTTTTTTTTCTTTCCAGAGAGAAGAAATTTAAATTTGGAACTAGAGATTATGAAAGTGATGTGACACATAGTTTGCTTTCTTAAAGATAAATAACTGTTTATTTTTCTGCTAGCACAGTCCATGCTCTGTTTCTTAATTAGGTGAGGAATATTGTTAGGCTTTTCTTTACTTTTTATGCTGGTAATGACACTGAACTTTTCTGCAGCTACCTTTTACAACAGATATTAGGCGCTTTACAAGAGTGTACTGTCATCATCCCCATTTTACACAGGGGAAAGCAGGGCAGGTGATCACAGGCCACCCAGTGGACCAGTCAGTGCCACTAAGAGCTGGCAATAGAATGTCTTGTTTACTTGAGCAAACCACTGCAGGATTGGTAGAGGTGTCCACATCTGAGAGTGATGGTCAGATCTGGCTGTCTGAGAAGCTGTATATTAATGAGAGTTTGGTTTTGTTTTTTTTAATACTTCATTAGCTTTAAGATGATTTTTCATTTATTTCACACAGGTAATAATAGATGACCAGTTACCTGTTGATCATAGTGGGGAACTTCTCTGCTCTTACTCTAACAATAAGAATGAATTATGGGTGTCGCTAATAGAAAAAGCTTACATGAAGGTCATGGGAGGATATGATTTTCCTGGATCAAATTCTGTAAGTACTAGATTATTTCTAAGAGGCAAAAATTCCACTTAGATAGTCTTGGGTCAAATAACATTCCTTCTAGTAAAATAAATTAATTGCCTGGGGAGGCGAATATTTGGTTTGATGTTTTCTTAAATTTTTCTAATTCTTTCTTTCACAAATGTGCTTAGTTGTACTTGATGAGATTTATTCCATCAAAATAGAATGAGCAAGGCCTCTTTGATGGGCACAGTTAATCTTATTCTGTGACTGCAGAATTGGCACTTATGGTTGGGAAGTATGTGTGTTTATATAGAGTCTAGATGAAAGTGTTGGGTAAAGTAAGACGTTTTTGCCCATGTCAATACTGATGGTTTTGGTTTTGAACTGTCATTCAATAAATAGGGCAGTTCTCCCTCATTGGGTAGGGGAGTCACCTAGGAGAGGAACAGGCTAGTCATTTAGTACATGTCTACAGAGGGAGCAAGTACCTTAATCTGTGAAATTTTATCAGACTGTTCCGCTCATTTACATAAATGTGTAATGGGTTTCTGTAGTGTGGTTACTAAAGAAACAGTCATCGTGCTGCAGCTAGGCTGACATGCAAATCGTTCTTATAAAGAGGGCCAGTTTACTGAAATAAGTAGCCCACATGATTCATTTGTTACTTAGGAAGCATTTCTGATTTTAATTTAAATTCTTTAAAATTTTACCAGTATATTTTTTGATTTCATGGTGCTGTTCACATTCTAGTTGGAATCATGTTCTGGAAGGGTATGCTAAGTAATTGTCACCTTTTGAAAAATGATTATGGAGACAAGTGTGGCTTTGTATAAGGTAGCGTCTGTTGTTATGTACGTTTGTGGCAGTGTTGGGCTGCTTTGTTTTGGAGGACAGAAACTGGTGAGAATGGCTCTGTGCTATTCCCTTTGTCATCCTCTAACATGCTGTCTGGAAAAACAGCTTGACTTGTGACATTTAATCTCTACCCTTCCCACCCCCTCTGCTTTCGACTGTATCAGAGCTTCCTTCTATAATCAGGGTTACTTGCTGGCTGTGTTGTTCTTGTAATTCCTCAGTGCCCACCCAGCAGTGCTGGTTATTGACGCTTCAAGCATTTATAGTCTCTGCTTTTGCTTGGAGGAGTACAAAGCAAAAGAAAAGGGAATAAGCAACATTTCAAGGAGACGAAATGGGGAGATTAAACCTCTTTTTATGGAAATACATATCGGTGTCAGCTTTACCAAAATGAATAAAAAACCCAAACCCTGAGCCTTAGAAGTAAAACTTAAATAATTTAAAATGCATGTATAATAGCAAGGTTCCAAATAGTGCTTCTGAGACGGTGTGCTAAAGTCTATAAAGCGATGAAATGACTAGAACACATCATAGAATTGAGCACGACTGATCATTCTCTTATGCTTCCATTGCTCTGAAATGCCAGTTTGTTCATCAGTTCACTTGCCAGCTGCTTGGTTGGTTGGTTGGGGTTTTTTTAGAGGCTATTTGGAAATGTTGTCCGAACCTAATGAAATAAGGTTTTGTTTGGTTGGTTTTTCTGATACAGTCTTAATCTTGAACCTTTTATGTGTAGAGCTATGTTGTAACTTGTGTATACTTGATTTCTTTCAAGGTGCATTTATAATTCGTGTACAGACATCATATGCTTATGGATGGATTACCTATTCTGTTTTCTTTTGAATGCTTGCATTTCAGAATATTGATCTCCATGCACTGACTGGTTGGATACCTGAAAGAATTGCAATGCACTCCGACAATCAAGCTTTCAATAAAGATAGTACTTTCAGAATGCTTTATCAGAGGTAGAAGTTTGTTGTTTCCTAAGTAATTAAAATGGTTGCTGTGTAGTAGCTGCGTTACCACTGTAAAAGTAGTACAGTCACCACAGATCCTTCGACAGCATTTTGGTACTACTACAAATTGTGCTTTATAAAACCTCCATTTGCTTTCTGGAAGAATCAAAATTGGAGGTATTGGTGGCTTTGCTAGAACAGAAGAGTAAAATATTGTGGAATTTTGTTTGAGGTGATTTTTCTTCTTTACATACAAAGAAAAAAATATTAGTCCAGTTCTTGATGAAGAAAGTAGAATACAGAGTCAAAGAGCAGCCGCTTGGAACCAATACACAAGTTAAAAGTGTTTAAAAAGTAGAAGGAAATGTGTCCTCTGTTCCTACGCAGTTCCCCAGAACTTTGCATTGGTCTGCTGTCCTTAGCAAGCAGATACAGTATTTCTAATCTTACTTTGTTACTCTGCCCCATTAGTAAATCTCCTGGAGGAGCAGCAAAAATCTATAAAAACTGCAACACCTATCTTCAGAGCTACCGTGACAATTCTACTTATGCTGAAAGATACAGCTGTAATTTATAAATGTCAGCTAGCAAGGACTTTGATTTCTTTCAAAATGGTTTTGTGCAACGAGTTTCTTATGCATTTCAGTGCAGTAGTAGAGGGATATCCTGTTGACTGAAGCATCTGCATTTGTGGTAAAAGAGCATGACTCTTTCTAGAGTGCTTTTTCAGTTGGTTAGGAGCTCTCAGCTGATTGTCAACGACTTTTCAGATATTCCAGCATTGTAGTTTGGAAGTGTGACTGCAGTTAGGCTGGGATCTAGCTATTATAGCATCACTGTTGTTCGCCTGTGCCAGGCTGAAAATGTGTTGATGCTTAGTCCAGTGACGCTGTAAACTGCCTAGGGACACTGAGTATGTACTTGGGTTTTAGCTTGGGCTCAGAAACGTGCTAGTGTGGTTTCACAACAATAGCTGTTGTGGAATTAACAACTGCAATTCAGAACAATTGCAGAACTCCGTTGACAGTTCAGGCCCTGTAAGGCCTGTGCTGGGGGACACAAAACTTTAGAGTAAGCACCTGAGAAAGTGTAGAAGCATGAACTTCTCATTCTTCAGGTTTTGGGAAGCTCCTTCAGAATTGCTGTATGCAGTGACTGGCTAAGTGTTGATGAAACCACATTTGTGTTCAGCTGAAGATCTGTGAAAAGTAGCTTTAAAAAATGACACAGATTGACTGTCAGGTTAATAAATGCTAATTTTTATTTCTAAGAAATATGAAATTATGAAATTATATTACAATAATATTTTTTTCACTTAAAACCTGTACTTAAATACTGAAAGAAAATAGTTCCACTTTTTCAGGAGAGATTTCTGCTGACAGAAATATAAATACTGTACTCCAGTGTTTATAAAGCAGGGTCACACTGATGGACAGTGTGAAAACATACTATTACAGTGTCTGGCAAATGTTAGTTTGCAACTTGCAATAATTTAATTAAGCTGTTTTTCACCTCTCTTTGAACAGATTTCACAAGGGAGATGTCCTTATCACAACAGCAACAGGGGTGATGTCTGAAGAGGAAGGAGAAAAATGGGGTTTAGTTCCAACCCATGCATATGCAGTCTTGGATATAAGAGAATATAAGGTATCCAGCAAAACTGAAGGTGTTTTCAGATGCCTGTTTGAAACCTGTCTGCGATGGGTAGCTACTGATTTTTTGCTCTAATGGCTAATACAGTTTATTTTGTCTTGAGCTCCGTTGGGAAATTCCAGAAAGCTTAATGATGCCGTGTTTCCTTGAGTTATTGGTCCATATTCCATGTTAACATAAATATAAAAATTACCTTGACAAGAGGAATCCAGTAATTCTATTTTGTATTTCTTTAGGGACTTCGATTTCTTCAGTTGAAAAATCCCTGGAGCCACTTACGTTGGAAGGGACGATACAGTGAAAATGACACAAGAAATTGGACACCAGATTTACAAAAATACTTGAACTTTGATCCAAGAACAGCTCAGAAAATAGACAATGGTAATAAGGTTTAAAAAGTCACTATCTTGTCAGATGATATAGATCTTTAGCGTATCCCTGCAGGAAGGTGGAAAGAAATGCTTAAGCACAAGGAGAGGGAGAGTAAAACAAATACTAGAAACTAAATAGCCCAAAAGTTTAGGAAGTACTTATGTATTTAAATCTGTCATTTCAGGTTTGTCTGGGGTTTGAGTAATCTGGACTGTTCAATATATCTCAAATTCATTGACAAGAAATTACCTCCTTGCTTAAGTCTTCTGTCTCGGTATCTGAGCGTGAGGGAGTTCAGTGCAAAGATAACACTGACAGTAAGCTGTATAATGCTGCTTTTTAATCTGCGAATAGGCTTTCTGTGGGTTTTTTCCTCCAGCATTTGCCAATATGTGTCAAGATGCTGACTGTAAGTGGTATTTAAATTAGCCTTGCCTGGATATGAGCTTATGCACTGGAGGCAAGTGGGGGGTTTTCCCCCCTGCTTTACCTTAAGATATCTGTAAACAAACCCTTACATACACTCTGCTTCCGGCTGTAAAAGCAGGTTGAGATCCGTCTTTGAGACGGCGGTACTGCTAGGTCACTGTCCAGAGAAACCCCTTGGGATGGTGCCCGGTGTTGCCTTGTCCCACCTTACCTAGGGAGCAGCAGAGTGCAGCCTCTGAAGGTCGGGGGGGCTGGCTGGCGGAAGGGCGGACCGCTGCAGTTCTGCAGAAGCTGCGGTTTACATTCCGAGAGAGATGCCAGCTCTTCTCGTCGTGCCCTGGTTGCTGCTGTGCACCTCTCTGAGGGAGCCACTCTGTGCCAATGCGGATGGAAAACTTTTGATTAGGGTCTAAGAGCAGCAGCCCTGGCTTTGTGACAGCTATGAGAGATTAACTCATTATTTATTTACCAATTCATTTAGTAAGGGATTTGTATCCATAATGTTTAGTAGTTAAAATTCATATAAAATTACATGAGTAATTTTAAGGTAGTTGTTTCTTCTGACTGGATTTACACTCTGGTCTTGTTGTCTAAGCATGTAGCTATTAGGACTGCATTTCTATTTATTTTTTTTAGTGCTGCAGGATCTGTAACTGCCTGTGTCAGAGACTCGAATTATAAGGCTGTTACCTTTTTGAGAGTTCGTTTCATCAGAAATCTGTCAGCTTGCAGGCGTTGCTGTTGGCTGGAGTTGCAATTAAGGGAGCTATGGAGAATTAGAATAAATGCATGAGAATGTTGTAAAGATGAAGCAGATTCAGGGGGATGAAGCAAGTCACGTAGGCGTTGGATGAAGTATCTCAGAAATACATTCAAACTTACGTGTTGGTTGAATACTTGGTTGTGCTGGATGACTGCTGAAGTAGGTTGTTGAATTGGGGGAACCTATTTGCCTATATTTGGGTTTGCCTTGTTTAGGTTTCTTTCAGAAACCCGGGAAAGGGGAAGGCAGGTCCATTAACTAATGATGTCTCTTTCAATGCAACAGATTCTCTCATACCTTCAGTTTAGTGCTTGAGAATGAAAAGCGTTCTGACAGCTTCAGGAAGTGCTTGATGACAGGCAGAGACTAACTGGTTTTTCTTGGTTTAACTTGTTTGATTTGAGGGTTAAGTTTAAATTTAGAAATCTGGGCAATGCAGACATTACTACTAAGTTTTATGGTGTATATAAGCTATATCATTTGCCTGAAAGAGGCTTTTGAAAAACAAGTAAAGCTAAGGTGTCTGGCAAGGAAACCATAACAGTGTCTCCTTTTTAGGCATTTTCTGGATTGCCTGGGAGGACCTGTGCCAGTACTATGATGTTATTTATTTGAGTTGGAACCCAAGTCTTTTTAAAGAATCTACATGTATTCACAGGTTGGTCCAAGATCTAAAACTATTGTGTCTGTATCTCACTGAAGGTTGTGATGTGTTGTTTCCTTCCTTCCATTCTTCCTACTTACAGCTGAAGCGGTTGAACTCCAACCGTGTTCTCTTAAGCCTGACTTTACACTTTGAAATTCTCAGCCCAGGTTTTGTTTTTGACTACTTCTGTAACGTTGTTGAAACGCCAGTGACCTTTGTGACGTTGCTGTCTGTGGACCCAAGCTTGTGTAACCAGGTTCTGACCTCAGTCACACATCTCTCTATCGGAAAAGAAATCAGATTTTTATGCAGTCTGTCTTCAACCAGTGACCAGACAGTGCTTGACTGACCTCGTTTTTATTTGGAATTAATTTTCCTGGCCAGGTGCCAGAAAGCAAGGGTTTCTCTATTTTTCCACTGTGCTATACTTCACTTTGCTACTGCATCCACGCTGTTTCTGCGTGCGTTAGCTCTGCACAAGCTCCTTCATCCATAGTGCAACTGCTGAGCTTATCTGTAAAGGCTCCTTCCATCTTTGTGTTCAGATTAATTCTAAAATCAACTGCGGTGATGTAGCAAGATGAGGTAATGTGTATGCTAATCTCAAAGCTCATCTACTCGTCTGTCTTTCCTT